CCGCGGCATCGAGTAGCCCCGGGACCGATCACGACGACGACGATGGACGATCACGGAGGACCCGCGCATCACGCGCGTTGCACCACCACGACGACCGAGGCTATGCACGACCAAAGCTCACGATGCCTACGTTTACGGGGACCGACCCGGACGCTTGGTTAAATCGAGCCATGCAATTTTTCGAGATCAACGAGGTGCACAAGTCCGAGAGAGTCAAGATCGCCGCTTATCATCTCGATGGTGAAGCGAACACATGGTGGCAATGGATGTCACACGTGTACAAGACCAAGGGCGAGGAGATTCGGTGGAGAGATTTCGAGAAAGAGTTGGTCACGCGATTTGGCACGAGTGACTACTATGACTATGACGAGGCGCTCTCTCGAATTCGTCAAAACGGTAGCCTCCGAGACTACCAGAAGGAGTTTGAACGCATTGCAAGTCGGGTGCGAGATTGGCCCGAGAGTGCATTGGTAGGCGCGTTCATTGGAGGACTTAAAGCCGAGCTAGCGGCTGAGGTCCGATTGGATAGGCCGCGAACAACACGGGCAGCAATGGAGTCGACACGGCTACGCGAAGACCATTTGGTCGCAATGCGCAAGGCCAGCAAGGGTGATGGACGCACGGACCCGCGGCGCACAAGTACCGCGACCGACGAGATGCCCACACGGGTCGAATCCAAACCAACCGAGGATGGCACGCGAACCACGAGCCACATGCGACGGCTTACGACCGAGGAGATCCAACGAAGACGCGAGAGAGGCTTATGCTTCACTTGCAATGAGAAATTCACACCGGGCCATAGATGTGCTGGAAAGCAAGTGTTCTTGCTTGAGTTTGATGAGGATGAACCGGAACGTGAAGAGTACGAGCACAAGGAGACCTTGCTACATGTGATCAAAAGCAAGAAAAGAGGTGCTGAGAGAGGTCCGAGGATGATCCGATTCACGGTGACCGTACAAGGCGAACAGCTCGAAGTACTAGTGGACAGTGGGTCAACATTAAATTTTATAGACAAGGAGCTGTCCAAAGGCTGGGAAACGCAGATGACAAAAGTAAAACAGTTCGGGGTGAAGGTTGCCAACGGAGATGAACTAAGGAGTTCCGAGCTATACAAAGGAGTTCCCATATTTGCGCAAGGATTTGACTTAAAGGCTGATCTTTATGCCTTACCTTTGACGGGACCCGACATTGTACTTGGAGTTCAATGGCTCGAAATATTCGGATCTATCACGACCAACTACAAGAGGGGCACTATGACTTTTGGACGAGCCCACAAGCGAATTAAGCTGCTAACTGAGGACCCAGGAGAAGAGCCCGAGGAACTTGACGAGATCAATTACTTTATCCTTGAGGACAAGGAAATTCTCGAAGAAGGCGGGAATGATGCGGATGTGGTCATCGACCCCGACGAACCCGAAGACGAGAACCACGATGGCCTCGAGAGATGGCGAGAGGTTAGGCGAGAAAGGGCTCGGGCACGGGCTAGAAGGGTGTGCGCACGCACTAGGGCGCGCATACCAATGGGAAGCGGCAACCGAGCCGCGAGGCGTGCGAGTCTAGGCCGGGTAAGGAAGAGGTGCGCGACGAGTAGTGCGCGTGAACGCGAGGCTTGGGCCGACGATGAGAATGAGAAGATTGTGCCCGGGAAGGTAGGTGATTGGTGCAAGGCGTGCGCAAGGGAGCGACGCGCACGGCGAATGCGAGCGAAGGCCAATGGTGCACGAGGGGTGGATGAAGGGTGGACAGCGTGCACGGGGCGTGGCTGCGATGGAGCGAACTCGCGAGTGGATTGGGTCGAGGCGATGGGCCCGATAGGCGGGTGCGAGTGGGGCGCGATGATGGAAGTCACGCGCGAGGCACTAGTCGAGTGGGATGATGAGGTTGACGAAGCGAGCGTGTGCGAGAACCGCGCAGGTGGCAAGAACACACGGGGAGCAATGGGCGAGTGAGAGAGGGACGCCGAGCGAGCGGGCGTGCGCGACACTCGCGCGAGGGACGAACACGCACGGGCGCGAGGACGCGAAGACGTGATGCGGGAAGGACGCGCGCGTGTGGCAGGGACGCGAGCGATGCCTTGCGCGACCAGGACTAGCGGGCGGTGCGAAAGGCGCGCGCGCGTTACCGCGCGCGAGGAGGAATAGGCAAGGCGAGGCAGCGCGTCACGGATGGCTAGGGTTTTGGCGCGCGATGACTTGCCGAGCAAGCAAAGGATATGGACGAGATTCTCATAGCTTAGTTAGGAGTTTTAGTTTGGTTAGGAATCCAAATAAAAGACATGTGCCTATTAGTTTCCTATTAGTCTTTTAATTGTTAGGAAAGTCCATATTCTCTAGATGTTTAGTAGCATTAGGATTTATTTACTTGCATAGATTAGGAGTTCTATTTAGACTAGGATTAGATCTATTTGGTATCTATAAATACCCACATATGTTATTCGAAATATAGGTTGATGAGTGAATAGAAAAGAGTCGAACATTGTGTTCAAAGTTCTCGTGTGTTTTCTCCTGTGAGTTTACATAGAGTTCGTGAATGGAATAGGACCAACATCCGAGTTTCTTCACAGTGATAGAAATAGGACCAACATTCGAGTTTCGTCACACCTATCGCGAAGTACGAAGGCGTCGGCGCGCGTATTAGCAACTTATTGCGAAGGGACCAAGGCGTCGGCGCGGGTTTCGAGCAAGTCAAGCTAGACGTAACACACGATCCTTCATCACTCAACTAGCCCGCGCGCGGCCTGATCCCTCTCCCAGATGTGGCCCGCATTTTGCTGCTTTGAACAGGCCACTTAAAAGCTCAACTTTGGTGCACATGCGGCCCAAATTCGCGAGTTAGGCCCAGTCTGCGGCTGAAATTGTCCTGTGAATTTTTCAGCGCGGCCCAATGCGATTTTTCAATCTATTTTGAGTTCTGGAAGTCCGTTTTTCGTACCGATCTCAATTTTAAAAATTTTTATAAACTGAGAAATATTTGAGAAAATTATTCTAAGTCCCGAGACTCCATTTAAGTTCCTCGAGTCTTCTCTTCTAAAAATTTGAGAGTTCCAAGTCTACGAAAAACTCGATTTAAAACGCTTAAGCCTTATTTTGATTAATTATGGGTTGTATATTAAATTCGAGTAGTAAGATAGATTATTGATGTATTATCTCGCTTAAATGTAAGTGTTTGAGGAGCCGAGCCTCGACCTACGTTCCGCTACTTGTTGTGTTTTGCCATTCCGGAATACCAGGTGGGTCTATTTAAATTTCTATGCGGATAATTGATACTATATTTGTGGTATGATCAATGTATGCATGTGAACCATGTATCCTTCGATGCGAGCTGTACCGGCCATCGAACGGTTCTCCCCATAGATATAGAACGGACCCACTCCTCTTTTTGCATGTAAGACTAGGGCATGGGCCCTCGGCCGGCGATAGGCACCTTGTTGTAAGACCAAGGCATGGGTCTTGGCCTCGAGGATACCTACTGTTTGGGCATCGTTGTAAGACAAAGGCAAGGGCCTTGACATTTGATACGTGTATCAGCACTAATCTGTATATTGATATAGGTGTGCACATGAGATGAGACCCTGGAATAGGAGATGGGATAGTTTATTGATTCGTATACATGCTGCGACCATACCTGTCTTATACTATGTGTTGTTTATTTCCATAGTGGTGAGCACCACGGATTCCAAATGTGCTCATCCCCATTTTTCCTTCACAGACGCAGGTTAAGCAGGTTGCGTGCACGGCGAAGCGAGGCGAGTGGTGGTCAGTCTAGATGACTAGACCATTGACTGTATTGCTTCCGCTATTTGAGTTTATTTATGATTTATGATTTGGGATATTTATTAACTTGGGATATTAATGAACTTGGAATAATTATGATGATTTGAAACATTGTTGGGGAGATACCCAGTTGACATTGCTATGTCTTTTGACTATGGTTGCCCCTATATAAAGTGGTGTGGTTTGTTAGTTCTCTCTCTAGACTCTAGTCGGTCGAAGGACTCTTTTACACCATGTCTCTCACTTTTATTCGCCTTTTTAGTTGTCTCATTCAGCTGCGGGTGTTTTCTAGTTTATACATTTGCGTGTTATCTATAAAATCTCTATCTTTTCGAAAAAAAAAAGGCGAATTTTCACTTTTACCGTGTGATGTGGAAATAAATGTAATTTTACCATATTGCAATTTGCATCTTTAAGAATTTCATATCAATTGCAAAGATGCGCCAGATTTTTAGTTACGAAATAAAATATAATTGCCTCCCCCTTATATTACAAATATATTGCGTTTTCTATTTGCATAACATTTTTTATAAATTTCAGCTCTCAGGTGTTTGAATTTTGGTTCAGTATATTACGTTTATAGTCAATATATATTACAAACATGTGTAAATTAGTAAATTTGTTATGTTAATATATATATATATAAGGTCGCGCTCCGATGAGAATAGTGCTCAACGAAAGAAATGAGAATACATCCTAACCACAAAATTGAATTAATCTAACGCACTAAATCAGCCCATACACGCATAACTACAGGGCTAAATATGTAATTGTCATTAGTGGCCCCACCCCAATTAAACCATTTCTCCTTTTCCCCACACCCACGCAACCCGTCACCTCCCTCACCCCCCTCTCTCTCTCTCTCTCTCTCACTCACACACACACACACTTCACGGGGACGCACAGATCCACAGACCGGGTGACGCCAGCCACCCATGGTGCGCCGCCACAACCCGCCACCCGTCGTCCCGTCGGAGAGCCGCCGCGCACAGCCCTTAGCCACCACTCGTCGCCTCCGACCGGCGCAACACTTAGCGACGCGCACAGCCACCGCCCGGTCCCACTGCTAACAACCATCGGCGACGGCGACGGCGACATCTCTGCCTTCCCCACAGCCACATCCCTTAACTGTGCTCACTTGAACCCACGACTCACTGTGCACACTTGAACTCAACACACACAACCCTTAACTGTGAGATTGGCAAATACACAACCTTACCTGTGAGAATGGCAAATTTGGTTTATGTGTGCAGGGTGGAAGGGATCCGATTTCAAGAGTTTATGTTTGCAGGATCCGATTTGCAGGACAAATTTTGTTTATGTTTGCAAGAATTTGGGTTTTGATTTTGAAAATTTGACATTTTTCTAGGACTCTATTGCAATTTTAATAAAGTTTGATTATTCTTCAATATAGCCCATGGGCTAAATCTGCAATTTATAAAAAAATATTTTTTTTCTTATTTTTTATCATATATATTAATATAATAAATAAAAACATTAAGAAATAATAATTTATAGTAGTAAAATAATATGAAATATATTTTATTTTTATTTTTTATAAATAAATTGATAAGTTCAAATTGATATTAATTGAAATACAAACTATTAAAGTTCATATAACTAAAATGCACATAAAAAATACACAATCAATAGAGTGCACAACAATTTTATACAAGATGCACATTATAATCTGCCGGAATGCACAATATTGATATAGTTATTTTATATATTATGTCTTTTCAATTAAAAAATAATATAAAATATTAAATATAAATATTAGAGTATTAAAATATATTTTCATAATATAAGTAGTAGATCGTTTTGATCAATGAGGGTAATACGATTAATCGATTGAATAAATTGGTTATTTGATTCACTTTTAATTCGGGTTGGAACAAATTATTAAAAACATTCAAGGTTCGAGTGCACAATAGTGTTAGATGAATTGCATATTATCGACTAACAGATTGCACAAAAGGGACCGATTCGACCGGACTGGATTGTTTGAATTGACATTTTATATGTCGTTTCGATTATTTGTTTTTACTTTAAATTGTAGATTATTCCAATTAATATAAATTATTAAATAAACGTATAAAAATATCGAAAATATCAGCACCAACCGATTAACTATATTGTGTATATATTGACCAAATTTTTAAAATATCAACGCCAAACGAATACACTTTTAGTATACTGTTAGTCCATAATATATTTTTCAATGAAATGTATTACATTTTTAAAAAGTTTGGTCATTTTTTTTTTTTGAAATTTTAATGTGCATATTCACACACTATATTGTGTATTGTACTGAACATTATTGTATATTTATTAAATTTTTATACAATTGCAGATTTTGCCTGACATATCAAATTGAAATATAATAAAATATACAAAAATACACTTGAGTCCTTTTAATTTATTAAATTCACAAAGAAAGACCCACAATCCATGAACCATTAATCTCTCCCACAGCTTTCATCTCTCCCAAATTCCAAATTCCAATCACTGGCTAACAGCGCCATCATCAATTTTGAGGAATTCATCTCACTCCTCAACAAGACTCTGTGCACCGGTCATACCAAATTCCGCCTCAACCTGCTCTCAATTTCAGATCAATGTCGGCCACTGCAAGAGAGCTCTTAAATTAGGGTCAGGGAAGATCGAGCGGAAGGAGACGTCGACGACCATCACCTTCGCTTCTCCGGCGGCATCCGCTCAGTTCGTCGTTGATGGGGGCATGAACGGCCTGCGGCGTTGCTACGACGGGAAACGGACTGTGGCTACGGCAACGACGAGACCAATTGGGCTGTGGCGGCAGCGAGATGTGGATGCGATTGGGCTTGTGGAGGCGGGCGGCACTCTATGTATCGAATGGTCTAGAATCATTCTCGTCGGCGTTCTAGTCGAATATATAGGGCACCTCAACGGAGCCTTCGATGTAGAGAACCATTGAGTTCCCATCGGAATCCTTGGCCACATCCTCGTAGGAGAGGACGAGGTTCAGCTTGTAACCAGATATTAACTTCCCCTTGCGGACGTTGACGTAAGTCTCTCCCTTGAGCTTCTCGATTTTCTTGGTGGTTATGTGGAGGTTGCCCTCGCCGGAGAGAAGGGGTTTGTCGAAAAGGAGGGTGGCTATTCGATTTTCAATTTGGGAAGTTGTGGGTGTCTAGAAATTGATGAGAGAAAGAAGATGGGAGAATAAGAAATTGAGGAAAATTGACAGGAAAGAAAATGAGAACATATGTGAGAGAGGTTACTACAATAAACATAGGAATGTGAGTTTTTCGTAACTGATAGAGTTCACTAAAAGTGTGCTTTAAGTATCTTTGCAAATAACGTTGATCAATTTAGTTAATCTGAAAATAAATACATATGTGATACGTCAAATTGTCTCGAACCGCTAGACCGCTTCTCCGAATCGGTTTGCCTTCCTTGAATCGCCGGTAACCTGCAAGTACGCCGGGGGTGGTCCCGGCGCAAACACTCCGACGCTCAAGTCAGTGACGAATTTAGAAGAAGTAGCAGATATATGAGACAAAGTGTATGTTTATAGATGTTGTGTGTTATGTGTAAAAAGAAACATGTTCTCCCTTTTATAGTTGAAGAACCGTGACCTAGGAAGACTCCTTCTGCCAATAGAGTTCTACCTCCGCCCGCCTCTTAGCAATGCTAATCTCAACAGAGAGGAAGACTCCATGACCTATACGTCAGTGACAGATCGTTAGATGAGCTCGGCCAACGCCGAGCTTTCCACCAGCTTTCCTACCCCAGCTCAGCTACGCCCAGCTCCCGACATCATAATCGCATTTTACACTTAGGACCAGCTACCCTTGCGCACCTTGCCTAGCTCGTCCTTTCAAGGCTGCTTAGCTCAAACACCTACCTCGGCCATACGCGAGCGGCCGAACTCAAAAACCTTTCTTACCATTATGGTTTTCCATCACCAGTCCAATCTCTGCCAAGCTCATTCTCAACTCGGTTTTCAGGACCGCCTTTGTCACTGCTAAGGACCACCCAACCGAGCTACAAAGATGCTATATCATCTAGCCCCCTAAATTTCGAGGACGAACAGCCATAGGTCGCAGGTCGTCCAAGGAATTATTCCTAAGGTCTCAGTGCCAGGTCGTCGCGCATCCCATCCCGCTCATCACATCACCGCCTCTGCAAGCTCGTCATTTCACAATCTCAGCGAGCTTGTTTGGTTACCTTCTCAACGAGCTCGTCACATCTTAACCTCCGAGAGCTCATCATATCATCACCTCTGCGAGCTCGTCATTTCACAATCTCAGCGAGCTTGTTTGGTTACCTTCTCAATGAGCTCGTCACATCTTAACCTCCGAGAGCTCGTCATATCATCTCCTCTGCGTTCATTATGTCATGGCCTTTGCCGGGCTCGTCACTCTCTGGGAGCTCGTCACTTCACCAAGGCCATGAGCTCGTCACTTCGCAAAGCCATTAGCTCGTCTAATCGTAAAATTACGAGCTCGTCATCCTCCGAGTCACGCGTGCCTATCACTACCTTAGCATCATAAGCTCGCCACATCATAGCTACGTGAAGCTCATCATAGCTACAAATGAGCTCGTCATTTCATTACTTCTATGAGCTCGTCACATCTAAATCAATACGAGCTCATCATATCGCCATGAGCTTGTCATATTGACATCAATATGAGCTCGTCATATTGACATTGACATGAGCTCGTCATAACACCATAATAATGAGCTCGTCAATTTCACAAACATTAGGAGCTCGTCCCACATCGAAGTCATCAGCTCGTCACCTTGCAAAATTACGAGCTTGTCTCCTCGTCAAATCACGGACTCATCACATCACCAAACCAAAAACTCAGCCTATCGAAAAAAACTCAAGGTCGTCACCCTGCAAAAACACGAGCTCATCCATCGCAAAATCACGAGCTCATCCCATCGCGAAATTATGAGCTCGTCACTTCAACAGATCGCGAGCTCATCACATCGAACATCCACGAGCTCGGCGCATCGAAGAACCGCAAGCTCGTCATATCAGGGAAACCGGGCTTGTCATATCAAAGATCCTCGAACCATGACCTCATCACTGTACAGAATCACGAGCTCGTCACATCATCATCGATCCGAGCTCGTCAAGTCACAGTCCCGACGAGTTCCATCACGTCGTCATTGGTCTAAGCTCGTCACGTCACCGTCCCGACGAGCTCGTCAGGTCACATCGTCCTCGATCCGAGCTCGGCATATCATTATCTCTATGAGCTCGACACGTCATCACCGATCCAAGCTCGTCCAGTCATAGCCCAATAAGCTCCGTCACGTGATCATCGGTCTAAGTACCCGACAATGATGCCTTTAAACCTCATCTGCCGCACTTAAGTAGCTGGCACCTGCTACTAGCTTGTCATTTTGTCTACCTCTGGGCAATGCAAATCTTATCCAACGACCGTAGAGTCCTGCTCGACTCTATCTCCCTATAATCCGGAAGGATCTTCGCGATACGCACAACAGCTCCCTGCTGTAACATCATCCACCTCCTTCTACCAAGCTGAGCTCTTCCTTTGTACTGCCGAGCTCATTCCCAAAATTCAGGTGTGTTCACCCAAGGTTTACTTCATTTATCAGCTCGGCCACCTGCCCAGCTTACAAGCTTGGCCTCCCACAGTTGACCAACTAGCTCGGCTAGTCAGTTAGGTTCCCGCACTTGGTCGAGCTCATCCGAGCTTCGGCGCTTACTTTGAGTCAATCGGGTCAGCCTACTTGCCGAGCTACCTCTTTTAATATCAGCGATGCTATGCTATATCATCTAGCCCCCCATTTCTGGACGAGCTCTACAAACTTGTCCGAGAAATACAGAAAAGTGAGCATCGCGAGACCATTAGCTCGTCGTACCACAAAATCACGAGCTCATCATACCACAAAACCGCGAACCTGCCGCATCAACAAGGCTATGTGAAACTCTTCATTGCGACAAACAAGCTCGTCATTTCTGCGAGCTCGACTCGCCACAACCCCGAGAAGCTCCTTAGGTCACAATCCGACAAGCTCATCATATCACGATTACCCTATGCTCATGATACCGTAACTTCCTGCCGAGCTCGTCATCCTCCAGATATCTAAGAGCTCGTCACCTTCACAAATATCAGAAGCTCATCACACGAGCTCGTCACATCACAAACCATGAGCTCGGCCTATGAGCCCATCATCTCGCAAGATTTTTAGCTCGTCATATGCCAAATCACGAGCTCGTCCCCGTCGCATCGCGACCTTTGCGAGCTCATGGTAACATCACCTCTACGAGCTCATCACTGCCTTTGCGAGCTCGTCGTAGCACCACAATCTCAGCGAACTTGTTACGCCCATCGGATCTTGTCAGTTTTATCACATCACTCAGCTCGGCATATGACTTAGCTCGTCACGTCATCCCTTTCGGAGGGCTCGTCACCTCGCAACTTTGGAGAGCTCGTTATATCGCAAACCGCGAGCTCGTCACTCCACCAGAAATCTGCGAGCTTGTTGCATCGCCGCTGTGAGGTCGTCATACCACAAAATCGTGAGCTCGTCAAACAACAAAGCTATGAGCTCGTCATATCAAAGCAAAACCCGCGAGCTCGTCGCATCAACGAAGCTATGAGCTCGTTACCTCGAAACAAAACCTGCGAGCTCGTCGCATCAATGAAGCTGTGAGCTCGTCACCATGAAACAAAACCCACGTGCTCGCCGCATCAACGAAGCTATGAGTTCGTCACATCGAAGCAAAAACTACAAGCTCGTCATACCGCAAAATTACGAGCTCGTCATCCTACGAGCCCCGCGTGCCTGTCACTCCCTTAGCATCCCAAGCCCACCATATTGTAGCTATGAGAAGCTCATCATTGCTACGAATAATCTCGTCCTTCCCGCGAGCTCGGTACATCACAATCCGACCACTTGTCACGTAACAAATCCTACGAGCTCGTCAAGATCATTATTCTCCTGTGCTCGATATTGCCAAGAAAAAGGCCAAACTAAACAGTGATGCCAAGGATGGTGATGAAGACGAGGATGACGAGGAGGAATCTCCATAGTCTTCGCAAGAGGCCGTTTTACTGCT